AATACCTTCATCTGCTGTTTTCTCCAGAAGGATGGAGTCATCTTTATTTAAACATAACCCAGTGTCACCATTTGGACTGAGATGGCAGCTCAGAGCTGACACAGTTATATAAAATTCAGATGCCGGTGATCACTGAGGGAGGGGAGACTGAGGAAATGCCTCCTTCTGCCTGCAGCAAACTGATGACATGACCAGAGCTCAAGGACGGCTTTATAATGTTAAAATGTGGAGCTTTTCTGAACATGGATCCTGTTGCTGTATATTTTGTGACAGGTCAGGAAGGTAATTCTGCAGATTTGTGGTGTATTAGGCTCTGACATGCAGTCACGGCAGAGGGCGGCACTCATCTTGCAGCGTGGCAGGGAAAGGGTGGATGGGAATTGCTGAGAAGGCGGTCAAAGAGACACAACAGGCTCCGCAGTCCTGACTAACCAGTTATAAATTTCCTCCGGGTTACATCCTGAACAAAGCAACACAGCATGCCATCTCCTGTAACCCTTTCCTTCATTTGTAACACATTGATTTAGACCCGGGGTAGGCCACCTCGGCCCTCCAGCTGTGCTGAAACTACAAATCCCATTCCATGGCCGTGGCTCAGAGTCTTGCACCACCCAATGCACCTCCATTGTAGCACATTGCACCAGGATGCCATGGTCTGCATTAGGATGCGTTGCGTAATGCAACATACATTAATGTGTGACGTAACACATGGGAGATAAGTAAATGGGCCCTAAAAAGTGCCAACAGTTGCCGTCTGCAGCCATCAGACCGCGCAGGGCTACCCTGTGATTGGTGTCACCCACAGATGTGACACTCTGCTGGGAAAAAACTATTTTTTAAGTATTTGCAGATTTCGTGTATAAAGGGGAAGGAAGCTTTAACCGTTTCTGCACCGCTATTCACATGACCGGGTCACGCAGCCGGCTGATGATCTGTTCAGCCCTAATAGCCCTGTGTGTGGCCCCACACATTACAGATCGGCAGTGCCAATTTCTGGAAGTCAGCCGTCTGCGCTCATTAGGGACCGGATCATGTGACGCCAACCTTCTGTCATGTGCCAGGGAAGCCAAACAAATCTGTTTCGCTTCATTAACTTTTACAGTGCGGGCAAAGTTCTATCTGCGTCTTAGTACGAGGGCTTGGCTGGAGTCACACCTATGCGTCTCATTACTAACACGCTGTATATGGCGAAGAAACCAACGTGGCCAAAGTGCGCCCCCCCATGAGCTGTAAATGACTTCATAGGTGGCAGGTCCTAAAATGTTTGTGCCCGCTCAGGCTGAAGCACCCAAGGTGGCCACCTCTTCTGTCTACCCCTAGGCCCAACTCTCTGTGAACCTGTGTTGTGGTTGCAGAAAAATAGGCAGAGTATGTAGTTGGGGTATTAAAGCTTGTCCAGAGCCCCACCAATCTGTATATATAAAGACCGGTTTGGGGGGGGGGGCCAGAGTGTCAAAGATAATTACACAATCTGGTGACCATTAGCTCATGCTGGCCACACATTCGCATCAAATCTCAAGGATCTGGGCCATAAGATGTCATCTATCC